TTCACCATTTCACACAAAGCTTGAAATAAAGCCATGTGTGGTGTAGTAGTCACATTGATTTTTTTTTTAATATCAACAGTACCTGTGCAGTATTGGGTATGGATTTCAGATTTTGAGAAGTTGAAAAGTAAGAATATTTGTTTGCTTAGTAGGTCATGCTTTTGTTGTATTGATTTGAAGTTCTGGGGTTTGGGTGTTCTTATTTTAATATAGAACCACATCCTTATGGATTATTACGCTTCAGTTCACCTCATTTCCAGCATGCAGACCGCTACATTTTGTGATTTAATTAGATTTTTCTAAGAATTGCCTCCTGAAATATTTATGGACAGCACTGCCTTGTAAATGGGGGTCCTGCTGTCCCACTCCACTCGCAGATCTCTCTCCTTCTGCTCCGTTCAGCAAATGAGAGCGCAGCAGGCTGTGCACGGCCTGAGAGAACACATAAAGACCCTGTCACTTGTAACTTTCTCTCTGAGTCAGTGATAATGTTTGACTTGGCCATATTTATGTTTAACTTGTGTGTGTAGTGATTTTGTCACAGTTAAAAAAAAATCCCTTGATTATCACACCAAAGTCCTAGAGCTCAAAAACCATTGAGCTTAGAGGTGACATCATTTTGTACAGGAGGTTTTATTACATAGGGTTGAACCAGTTTTGAATTTCAAGCCTTATACTGTTGTTTGAAAACAAGAATTGGACAAATATGATACCGGTATTTTTTTTTCAGTCTTTTTATTTGGTTTTCTTTTTATTCCATGATAACAACGATTCTTTAAGACTCTTTTAGCCTTCAATAAAAATATATTCAATAAAAAATAAAGTTTTGGTCTGTATGTAAGAACATGATTTTTCTTTATTTGAGCAATTAACAACCATAATGCTTTGAGGGATATAAACAAGAAACATTCATGCTACAGTATAAGCCCCTCTATTTTAGTAAAGTGGGAGTTATTTAATGTTTAGCTGTAGAGACAGTCTCATTTAGCCAGCTTATAAAATTCTGAAGAGCATCTTTCTACATAAGTTGGTTTCTTCTCAGTGGTACAGATACCCCTGAAAATTGAAAACTGGTGTGACTCTGAACATGTGTGCGTCATGTCTGTCTATTCAGATTTGATTGGATTACGGGGAAAAAATGGGTGTGAACTTTAAGGTGTGACTCGCCTGAAAAACAGTGACCTCAGAAACACAACATTCAGGTCAAGAGAAAAGACGTGAGCCTTCTTGAGAATGCTCGAGCTGCTGGTGCACAGGCACAGAGCTCATTTCCTCCTTGTGACTTAGCCCGACGGCTGAAGGCTCCACATCACTGTTGGGAATCAGGGACTGGAGCTTGAATACTTGGTGAGCTATTATCGGTCTGCTGTGCCAGGCCTGCAGGGCACTTAAAGAGATCTGGAAATCATCACGCCCAATCAAACTGCTTCCCCCCTGCTTTGTTGAACAGGAAGAGCTTGCAGACAAAAAGCTGTTCTGCCCCTGATAATCATGGTGTGTTCTGCAAACTGTTTACTAGTTCGTGAGAACTGTATGCCATTTCTAGCTCCCTGTAATGTTTTGATATTTAAATGCAACATTTTTTTATTATTATTATGCTTCTGCTATCTTACAAATCACATTATTTATAGGATTTTGAGGCTTTTAATATGTTGGTATGCCCAGTAGTCTGATGTAACTCCACTAACTTTATTTTTAGTAAACTTAGAAACATACCGATCAACTGTGTATGTGCCCACATCCTGTTATTTCCCTCCAGCTGCTTCCCTGTGTCTTCTCTCAAAATTTAAATGATTATTATTTTTTGCCTTTAGTGGACAGATGCAGTGAAGATGGACAGGAAAGTGGGCAGAGAGAGCAAAGACGTGTAGCTAAACCGGCATTGAGTATTTTAAAATTCAAAAAAGAAAATCACAATGTCAGTGACTAACTTTGTGATATTTTTTAAAGCCTAATAATGAAACAAGAAAGTAATGCGTACTATTGGGAATTCTCTTTAGTTGCACTGATTAAGAAATAATGCTGCAGCTGTTAATTTACATCATGTACTTGTTACTGATGTGTGAATTGAACTTGTACATCATTTGCAGTAATTTAGTGAACAGGCAGTAGGCACATGTGGTTGTGTTTTACAGAGAGAGTTCTTAATGGTTCTTTCAACATTTAGGCCACCCATTCTGACAATTTAATGCTCTTTTATTTTGTTGTAGTGTGTTGTTCATTAAGGGCACACCCTCTTTTTGGACAATTTTAGTTCAGGCAGCACATTGGTGTCAGTGGAGGAGAAAATTACAGATGGCTGAAAGCTTCCAGCCTCTCACTGTGTGTGCTATTAAGAGAGAAGGTGGGATGGCACTGGAACCAGTTACCTTCTCAGAGGTAATTTGGTTATCTCACTGTTGACTCATTTTGATATGGTCACACAGCAAAATGTGTCCTTATAGTGAACCATCTGTCAAAAGTGGAACTGCTAGGACACAAGTTGTTGCTGGGCTACAATCCATCTGATGCCAGCTCTGCGGCTCTGGCGCTCGTGGCTCAGCACGGGCTACTAACTGACTGTTAGCTCAGGGCTTACACGTACCACAACATGTACTTAAGCAGCCAAATAGATACTTAAACTCTAACAGGACCTCAGTTTCCTTCCAGTGCAGCCATTCGAGTGGGCTGACCCTGCCAGAGATGGCTGCAATGTTCCAGTGTCTGGCTGGTGGATGGAAACTGGTGTAAAGTTACAGTGGCTATCATTGATTTCTCCTTCCAGGGAAAGCAGACACTAATCACAAAAGTAAATAGTGTACACACCCAGCTTAGCAAGATGAGGAATGATAAGGTGTTAATTTACAGTGTGTGCACTCACGTTATAGCAACGTACCCAACGGAGTCTCTTCGCTGTAGGCATGTGCGTAAATGGCCAGGAAATCTGAGCCTGTCAGCAGAAATGGACTTGAGGGATTCCCATTTTTCATTCTTGTAATGTTTAAGATACGTGATTACTACTAGACCTCGTGAATAGCATAATGATAGCAAACGTGTAAGCCACAGTATGCTAATGTATAACATACATTAAAGGAGAAAAATAAGTACCACTGATGGCAGTGTTCAATATACACTCTGCAAACCAGTGTGATCTGATTAGGATTATTCATTACATGCCATAAGTGTGCATAATTGAATAAACTCGGGTACTGTGTCAAGTTTGCCATATGCATCCTGCAGGGTGATAACGCGAACTGAAACATAAGCTTTAGTTCCTCCACCGTTACTTCTTTCGCTACACCCGTAGCAGCTGGAGGATGAATCAAACAAAAGAGGCTTCTGCTGCCACAGTGTAACCAGGTTTCTTTTCTTTGTCGGAACTCCATTCATCGCACGCAAGCCTTTGCTTAATTTTTTTCCCTACGAGCACCAACTGTGATCAGGCTCGAAAGACCTCTCCTACTATGTAATGCAGGATCACCATTTAAAACCACATTCAAAGATCGCACCTCGATCCTTCCACATCGTTATATAATTAATCTCGGACAACACAAAAAAATGTCGTTTTACTGTTGCATATTATCAGTTCTAGTTTAGTGCATCAAAATCAACTCCAGAAAATGCACAGAAAATTACAAATGTTGTTTTTCCCCCAACTCATAACCAAAGTGTAGCCGCACACACAGGCCGACATTCAACTTGAAGAGCTGCTTAAGTTGCCGTCTGCCCTGTGGTGCTTCAGGAAATGTTACTTTTCCTCCCCAACATTCAAACAGGTGCGAACACTGAGCGAGAGACATGTATCTGGCTGTGTGTGTATGCTGATATAATATCAGCATACACACACAGCCAGATACATGTCTCTCTTACAACAAAAGAGAGACATAAGAACATGCAAGAATAAGGCTTCAGTGTCTCAGAGGCGTGGGAACAGATCCGGCTTAGGTAAAATTTGTGTTTCATGTCACTTTTGTAAAGTTTGTTGGTGGAACAACACGTTATCTAGAAATAAGGTTTAATTGTGAATTAATTTAATATGGGTACAGTGTTGCAGATGAATGTCTGTCAAGTCAAGTCAGGGTTTTGATTCTGTCAGTGTGATGTGGGAACCATGTTGGGTAGTAAGGATTCTTAGATTGGTAGTAGACTGATCACAGAATGCCATCCAGATACAAGGAGTCACTTATTTCAGAAACAGCTTGGAGACGTTGAGCAGGAGCTGGGGTGAAGTCACAGATTTGAAAGGTTTAGAGGAGGCAAGAAGCCAACTGTCAGTTTACTCCAGAGATCAGTAAATAAACAGCTGTGACCTTTGTGTTTGAGTCCAGAGTTCGTCAGCATGTAGATCTTCCCGTTTTCCTGTTTCCTGTCAATGCTGATCCACTTCCTTGTTCCCATCTGAAGGAAATGCTCCAATAAATATCCTAATAATAGCACCCCTTATCTGGTAAAGGGATTTTGCTGCTGAATCAGCTTGTGCAGGTTTAAAATTTTAATCTGCTGCTTGTGTTGTTTCAGCATTTATTCACAGAATGCATGATCAGTATAAATCATGTTTTCTAGCCAAGAGGGAAATTTGTTTTGCAGTCAGGTCACACTGGTTCGCTGAACAGGCCCATACAATCAGAGAAGGCTTTGGAACTGAGCGCTAATAACAAAGCACATGGGCTTTCTCTTCTTTTGTCATCGACCACAGACCAGTTTTCCACTTTTCCTCAGTCCATTTTAAATGAACTTTGGCTGAGAGAAAACATTTCTATCATTTCTGTCCCAACTTTATTGGAATTGAGCTTGTATTCTCCTAGGTGTTTGTGGAAGAAGAACCTACCAAGAAGGATACTAGAACATGGTTGATATTTACAGTCCCCTTCCTGACTTCTCCACCCTCTGACATCATACATTTTGTTTCAGTCCAAATTCACAACATAGTTGCTTTCATCTGCACACATGTGAAACACATGTCAATGACAGTCTCAGCTGTGCTGTTTTGTTTACAGTTTCTGTCTTTGTATTTCCTTCAGGACGTCATCGCTGGGTTTCTGTACAGCATCCTCATCCTGTGCTTCTTCCTGCCGATACTGGACCTGATCGATGGCTTCAATTTGACCTGCCGCTACGCTCCAATCGTCATCATCTCCCTCCACCTGGGCCTGGGCCTCTTCTCCTTCACCCTGGACACCTGGAGCACCTCTCGTGGTGACACCGCTCAGATCCTGGGCACTGGTGCCGGCATTGCCTTGGCTTCCCATGTCAACTACCACCTGGGCCTGATGCCCGACTTGACACCAGACCAGCTTCCCCTCAGCATGCCCGCACTTAGCCCCAGCCTGGTGGGTGTTGTAATGTTGCGGCTCGTTGTGGGAGTGCTGGTGCTGTTGGCCACACGGGCGCTGATGAAGGCCATCACCATCCCACTGGTGTGCAGAGCGTTCAGAGTGCCCACTGATGACCTGAGGAAGGCCCGGCAGCACATGGAGGTGGAGCTGCCTTACCGCTACATCGTCTACGGGACAGTGGGCTTCAACGTGATCTTCCTGGTCCCGCTGCTCTTCAGCTACATGCAGCTCTCCTGATTGGATGTTACTTGACTGTGTGGCCAGTCAAAGTGAAGTAAAAACCTAAATGCTGTCATCAGATCAGTTTTGCTGCTTGTTTTCATCCACAGCCTAATCCCTAGCTGGAGGTTTCTGGGTTTGGGACTGATGAAGGTACATTAAAGCCTAATTGCTGATCTGGATGCAGAGTTTTTATCAGATTTTTTGTTTTTGTTGTCTCAGGTTACTTTTAAAGACGGGTGAATCCTGAGCAATGGAAAATGGGCTTAGACTGTTAACAGTTCACTAGCGATATCTCTTTGTTCTTTAGATTTATTTAAGAGTAAAATCCAGTCAGATAATGCTTTGAAACTCTCAGAGCTGGAAAGTCACTCCTCAAATTCAAAAAAGCATTTCAACAGTGGCCTCTAGAAGACTAAAAATGCAGGTCATGACCACTAATAGATGATGTGTTAGTATTTGCATTGTTATGGCTGATGTTGTTATGAAGAGCTCAGGCAAAGAACCACAGAAGTATTTTTTTGAGGAAAACTTAAATTATTCCAACAACTCAAGTGAATAATAAATCTTCAAACGCCTGACAGAAAATGTTGAAAATAAAAAGACTTAGTAAGTCTCACTAACAGTCTGAAAGCCAAAGATATCCAGGCACATGATTGAATAAATAAATAAAATAGAAAGTCTTCTTTTAGTCGGATGTCCAGATGGATCAATGGCAGAATGAGTTTGGGTTGTAAATTAAGTGCTTAGTTTAACTAGTTTAAAGAATGTTGTAGTTTGAGTTCAGTGTCACTGTTGAAACTTTGTGTGGTTCTTTGTCTAGTAGCCTCTTAATGTTTCTGTTTGATTATACTCTCCTTTGTCTCAATTCTTAAAGCAATAAGAGACCTTTCATTTTATGATTCCTGTGTTCCTCTACTGGATCGGAGGAACATTTAGTCTTTAACCTCTGAACCCCCTGCCTGTGGAGAGGAAACCAGTTTGATTAAAGTTTTTGATTTGTTGTTACGTCCCTGATGTCTGAGAATTCAGCCACATTGTTTTTTCAGGAGGTTAGATTGTGTTTTCTTAAAGGGCTTTCCCCACTATTTGAGTTCTGAGTTTGACTGCTATTCCTGCAACCCAATGGGAGAAAAAAGAAATACCAGGCACATACTGTACGATGCAAAAGGAAAGGAGAATGCATCGCTTTGTTTGGGAAATGTACAGAGAGGGTTTTAATGGTTTTATTTTGTTCTCTAAGAATGACTGGAGCACTCAGCTCAGCCTGTTTTTTTTTTATTTTATTTTATTTTTAAACACTGTAAACTTGCTTCCTATTAGAGATGTCAGCTCACATCCACTTCCTGTTCTTAGCTGAGGTTCTTTTGCTGATGTCAGGTGGGAGAAGGTGGTGGAGATAAACCGTCCGGAGGGAAGTTTTCTCATGTTTCTAAAATTGGAACTCCATTGACAACTTTTTTGTGCACAACAGGCGCGTTCTAAAAATATTAGAAAGTATTCGACTACAAGTGCAACATTATTCACTGTTTTATCATGCATGAATTTGATACTTGATTCTATAAATGTAGGAAAAATTTGTCTTCAAATTTTGAAGACAAAATTGCTCCAGAAAAGCGGCGTGAACGTGAACTTTTTAAGTGCCTTTGACAAAAGTAATCAAACACATGGTTGCCCTGAGAAGTCAAATGCACTGCAACATAAGGAAACGCCAGCAAATAGAAAAACAATCCAGAAAGCACACAAAACACAACAGAAGTTGAACAAAATGCAATGGAAGTAAACAAAGAAAATCACAAAAGATATGCTTCTGGGGAGGTGATAACATGATGGAACAGCTACACATGTGACAGAAGCCAAAACATGTCAACTTTTGCACTGAGACACTAAAAAGAAGCAGAGTTGTTGTATAACATGGAGAAGAAGATGCAAAGTACAGTATTACTGATCCTGTAATACTGTGCATACATGTTTGCTATCAGCTGTTTACCATCAGGTTATCACTTCCATCCGTCACGTTATTGTCTCCCCAAAAGCACATCTGTTGTGTTTTACGAGGATTTTTGAGGTTTTGCTGCGTTTAGTTTTTTTCTATTTCCATTGTGAAAGAACTATTTGATTCAAATGTAGCTTGGTAAGATGTCAGAGCAGAATCTATCATCGTAAGACTCTGGTGATGTTAAACTTGTTAAAAAGCATTTTACATTTGCAATAAAAAAAAAAGCTTCCACTCGGACTCTTACCCGAACTCCTCCACACCACAACTAGTGATTAATTGGTTAATTAGTTGATTAACAAAGCTTCCTTCCTTCCTCTAACCTGAACCTGAGTATAAAGACTGAGGCCAGGAGCCCAGATGCCTGCTTCCTGTTTCTAAGCTGTGTGTGCCTTGCTTAAAGGCACATTTTAAAAAAGATTTTCTCCCAGCAGGATGCTGCCATTGACACACATTTCTTTAGTCTTAATTTCTTTTTTTTCTTCTTTTTTTTTGCCAAGCTGATTTATTTATGTTATTTTTGTGTACGGTACTCTGCTAAAATAAATGCACTGTTCCCAGAATGCACTGTTCCCCCTCCGAGCCAGGCAAAAATAATGAAGGTGGAGCTGGTCCTCAATGCAGTCCAATCAGTAGTTCCCTTTGATTTGTCGTCTTGCAGTTGGTCGGTAAACACTATGACGAGTGACCGTTATAATGAATAGATGCTTTACTTACATTAGCACCTGTTAGCTAATGCAAGTAAGATTCAGTCATTCACAGACATCTGTGCAGTAGCAGAGAAATTTTCCAGTATAGCAGCTTGAACCAGCAAACATCTGGAGTCTTCCCTTCATAAGTGACCTTAACTGTCCCTGGATACTACAATTTTTCTGTGGTATGTTTGTTTTTCTGTAGTCGACTACTTCTGTCTGAAATGATAATCCAATGATGTGATGAGAGCTGCTGATTGCATTGGTTTAATTCTTTAGGATGTTCACATATAGTTTAGTATTTTAACTTAATCCAGCTGCAGATTTGCCTCTAATTAACCGACTCATCAAAGCCAAACGGACCAGCTTACTCTCTGCATTTGTCAGCCGCCTGGCTCGTTTCACTTCCTGTGGCCTTGCCTCGTGCACAAATATGTTTGTGTTTTTCGGAGCGTTTGTATATTTCTTGACGTTTTTGTGCGTGTGTTTGGGCATGCGGTTTTGTCTCTGTTCCACAGAAAAGAGAAGTTTATTTCTGTTTCAGTGACAAAACCCAGTTTGTGTTAATCCTGTGGCTGAGCTGAGTTTGTGTGAGTGACGGACAGAAGCTCAAACTGCAAGAAGTCGATGACAAAGCAACATTTGTCATCTGTGATCTTTAAGGACATTTCCCCTGCACATCGACAAAGGAGATGAAGCTGAACTCCCTGACACGTCTCGCTGTGATATGTTCCTGTGTTTGGAGACTGGTTTCCACCTGTGGATGTTCTTTTTTGTAGAGTCAAAGCAGGGCTGGCCTCGTGATGTTTGACGAGCCTACTTATAAACTTAAAGATGTATATTTGGTACAACATCTTTAAAATGCATCATATAGTTTTGTTTGGCTCTGTTTTTATATCATCTTAATTGCGATTTTGCTTTGTTGTGATCGTGATCTTTTGTTGATATTATTTCGGTACATTAATATATTTTTGAAATCCTAAATTGATCTGTCAAAAATATATAGTCTGTGTTATTTTCTGTGGTATGATGTGGCTGAATTACAGAATTTCTTTATTATTTGTCATTAGGAGATGGATGGACAGAGTCACCAAAGTCTATATACTGTAATAACACAATAAGCTTGTCAAACTGATCCTAATTTATTATTATGATAACTTTAGTTCTTGCAATACAATATTTAAAACAGTTTTTCCTTAATCTGTTCAATGATTGGTTTGAACAGCCAGCTCTGCTTTGTCAACTCACAAGATGGAGATTTGATTTCTTCTTTTTTTAAATACTGGATCTCAGAGGAAAAAACGTCTTTCTTGACCAAATATGCAGTATTTAAACTGTGTAGCTAAACTGCCCTACACGTCAGTGCCTTCCTCTGTCCTCAGCTCTGTGCCGTCATGTTGCCTCTTGCACTTTGTAGATGTATATAAATATGGGAGGATGACAAGTTTCCTGTTTATAAAAAAACAAGAACCGTTTTTAATATTGCCCCTACTTTTGCTTTTTAGTTGCTGTCTTGAGGAAAATTTGCAAGTCTTTGTCTTTAAGTCTACATGTTTGATGCAGAAATGAATTTGCCTTTTTCTCCCTGATAATTCGCGGCTTTCATTCCAAATCGCAGTCAGAGAGTAGAGAGACGAGGTGAACTCTTGTGAGTTTCAGCTTGTAATCAAACCCTTCATGATTCCTTCTTTATTTGTGAAGTCTCGCTCACTTTCACAGTATTTTCTTCATGTTTCTGCAGGGCTTTATTGTTGGTTTTCATCTATGATTGAAAATGTGGCTTATTTCTGTCTGTGTGAATTAACCGAGAATAATAAATGAGAGAATCAAATATGTGCCTGCTTGTCCTCAGTTATTCCCTGCAGTGACAGACTGCAGAATGAAAACGTCCGTGTGCGTGTGGAGTTGTGGACATGAATGTAAAACCATTTGAAAGTTTGTTCTTACTGAATCTTTCTCACTGTAAAAAGAATGTTACTAATTATTCTGTAGGTCTGGCCTTGGACATTATTTTCACTGGTGCACCCACAGCCATGACCTTGAAAACTCTTGCTTCTTTAATCTGGTTAAATCTTCCTCTAAGGATGAACATAATGTAGTATACTGAACACACATTTTGTAAGAGTTACAAAAATATATGTGTTTGTAGTTTTGCCTCTGCGCACCACCACTGTGGATTTTAAATCAAATAAGATGTGAGTCAAGTGCACACGTGGAACTTTCATTTGAGGGGTTTTACAAACTTTTGGAATTACAACATTTTACATTACTTCGGTTTCAACTACAGATATTTTATAATAGTCAGAGGATCAAAACGAATAATTTGAAATGTAACAAATGTTTTTGATACCTGGATGAATCCTTTTGCACTCGGTGACTGCCTGATGTCTAGAATCCATGGA